GTAGCCATCCCCCAGCGCCTGCCTCCTGCCTCTGGCAGCCCAGCGTGGCCCAAACGCATCGGTATCGACTCAGCAATCAATGTTCAAATCCCAGCCAGCCATGTGCTCCAGCTAATGCAAAGGGAGCAGCTTTCCCCTGGGACATTGCCACACATCCCATGATGCCGGGCAGGCAGGGCAAGGCTGTTTTCCTTCCTCTGGGGAGGATGTTTGCACTTCTGAGGGAGAGGCAGCACCCACTGGAGCATCTCTGCTCCCCAGGCACCTCTCCAGCCCTATCCCTGGCCTGCAGCCCTGCATGATCTTAAGTGGGATCTTCTTCCCAAACGAGTGAGATGAAGAGGAGGGAACTGCCCTGGGGATGAAGGACAGAGAGCTGAAATAATTTCTCCCTCCTGTGATGCTTCTCATGAGTGGAGGGGAAGGAGAGACCCAACCCCTCACCTCCACCAGACCTCCCTCCTGGAGAACAGCCATTACCAAAGGGCATTCCTACACCTGTAGTAGCTACAAGCACTTAATTTCCACGACGTGCTAGTAGGAGACTGCAAACCTCATGCGCCGGTGGTGACTTCCTGGGGAGGACAAATGCTGAGGCTCTGCCCAACATGGGGAAAGAGATGGGGAGCAGAAATGCCTTCCAAAACCCCATTTATTTAGGGGAAAAATCCTAGAGAGCAGCAGGGAGGCATGGGAGGTGGTAGCTGGGGTGGGTTCTAGAATGTCCTGGGTCAAGCTTCCCCCAAAAACAACTCAAAAGACAAACGTTCAGATGAAGTTCTCTGTCCACCAGACCTCTTGGAGACAGGGACCTCAGCGAGCCCAAACCACCTCTGCTGTCCTTTTGCTGGGCATTCTGGGGGGGACCCCCAGACACCCCAGGGAGCGTGGGGAGAGAATTCAGTGCCCCTGGGATTTATACCTCGCACTCAAACGTGGCAGCAACCAGCCACGGGGTACCAAACCCCACCCCCTGGGGAGGAGGAGAGGGGACGTGTGACATCCCACAGCCGTGACACCTCCACCTGCCCCACCTTTCCCAAAATCCTGCCAACTCGGATGCTTTTGTGCCAGCAGCATGCAATAAGCCATGGTGGCTTGTTAAGAGCTGAAGGCAGCTGGTGGAAGCCGGGAGACAGGCAAGGCAGCTGCCTGCTCCTTGCCAGGACTCCTGCCCTGCGGATGCTTTACCAGGACGAAATTATGGAAATACCAGGCTTTGACATTGCAAAGCATCAAGGAAAATAGAGGAGAGGAAAAAAAAAAAAAAAAGGACCAAACAATTACCAGGGACTCATCAAGGAGCTGCAGGGAGAAATTGTGATGGGTAATTATAAAGGGAAAATAAAATCAAGCTCTGAGATGAAGTCGACAAGCTGGAGGAAATAGAAAGGTGGAGAAGGAGAGGGTCTCCTAGCTCCCCGTGGCAGCCTGTGGATGGGAGGATTGGTGCTGGGATTTTGGCAAGGAAGAATGTTCCTTTGAATATTAATTCCCTTGGAAAACTCCCCAAGCAGATATGGAGGCCAAGTGGTGACTGGGAATGGGATGTCTCAACAGGCCAGCTGCCAGCTCCAGCTGCCCATCCCTGGGCTGGATCAGTCCAACTATTGCAAACTTCGGGGCTATTTCAGGGAATACCATCATCAGTTAACCAGCACAGGGATGCTGCTGCTCTAGGGGGAAGGGGCTCGCTCACCCACACCTCGACTCCCTCCTTTGGCCAGGAGACAGCGGAGAGATGGAGGGGAGAGGCCCTTTCAACCCCATGGAACCCAGTTGAAGTAGCTCCCCCTGGGGCTGTGGGAGCAGAGGCAGCCCATGGGGAAAATCTTCAGCTGAAGGTGAGCTGAAGTGGGGCTGGGCATCCCGGGATTCACTTCGGGCACTTCGGTAAAGGAGGCTGGACCTGCCTCGGGAGATAGGAGACAGTGCTGAGGGGAAAATCCCTTCCAGACCAAGGGACAGACTAACGGCACCTGCCAAACCTACCCCATGTTTTCTGTTTTATTTTTTATTCTCCTATCCCTATCCTTTATGATTTCATCCCTATCCTTTCTGATTTCCTTCTTTCTCTCACGGTGAGGGTGGGTTATGGAAGACCAGGAACTAATCATGCTGTTGAACCGGTCCTGAGCTTTAACCCCTTAATGCCATCAAATTTAGCAGCCACCTCCCAGTAACTCCAGCCAGCAAACTGGGCTTAGAGAGCAGTACCCAAGAGCTGGGAGGATCCAAGCAGTCCCAGGCTTTACCCTCGCTGGGATTTTAACCCTGGCTGTAGGATTCTGCTCCCCTGGCTGGGACCACCTTAGGGATGGAAGCAGCATCTGACGACATTGACGTTTTGTTTCTCATTACAGGCACAATTAAAAGGAGAGAGGATTACAGGCGCCAGCCACATCGTGTCCCCGTCCCTCAGCCGCCTCACGCTGCCTTTATCTCTTCTGCCTGGGCAGTTCCATCGATGAATCGACTTCTTCCCCCGCCTAATTTATGGCTCCTCTATGTTTGTTTATATAATATGGTTAAACATCTACTTTACACCCTGCATGCTTGTACTTGCTAATTAGCATTTTTCTCAGCGTTTATTGCCTTCGCTCCGGGCTCTGACAAGATGAACAGGAGCAGGGAGAGGGTTGGGAGCCCCACAGCCCCCCTGCACCACTGCAGCCCAGTGAGTTTGGGTGCCTGTAACTCTCCAAGAGCTGTGGATGAAGCTGTTGGCAGGCAGAGCTGCAGCTATGTCAGGGAAGGGATCCCCCAGGATTTGTTTTTGCTTCTAAACACAGTTCTTGAGCTGGTTTAGGGAGACTGGGGAGCCTGGAACATCACAGTCTGGGGAACAGTAACAGATCTATGTGTCCCCCATGGCTGCTGCCCCACAGTGATGAACCATCCCTGCAGCCTCACCCTGCTGATGCTCAATCCACGAGTCCCTCTGAGCAGGTTTGGGATGCAAGGCAGAACAGGGAGTTCTCCAGAGGTCTGGCTTGAGACCTCTGTACCCTACAAGCATCCTCACGGACATGGGGAAGCCAGCCTTTCCCTGCCTGCAAAGCCACCTCACTCACCAGGAGCTGAGCCCAGAGAAAACCTCAGCCTCAGCCCGGTAACAGACCTTCTCTTCATCTTGGTTTGCCAGAATTTACAGTCAAATCCCTTCCAGCACCAGCACAATCAGCCCCAGCAACCAGCACTGTTTATTCCAGTCCTGGCAGTATGGATCTCCATATAGATCCGTATGGATGGGGCTCAGCTCTACCCTGTGGCCCCACTAAAAGCCCCAGCTCCTGAGGAGTCACCACCTCTTACTGCTCAGGTACCCGGGGGTAGGACCTGCCCCTCCTGGCGGGCTGGAGGGGCTGGCCGTGCCCTGTGGCCCCGCTCTCCCAGCCGAGCCTCCCATCCCGGGAGTCGGTACCCCATCACTGTGAGCACAGATACGACAGTCAAATAAAGAGCCGGGCTCATGCTCCACTAAAGGTGCAGGAAAAACTCCTCTGACCCCTCTGCCTGCCTGCCCAGCCTCCTCCTCCTCCTGCCCGCTCCCCGCGCCGCAGTTTCCCTGCCTGCAGACATGTCCCACGGGGGTGCCAGAAGCTGGGATGCGGCCAGCAGAAAGCAATCCCCAAATCTGACCCTTCCTTGAGACCCCAGTGCCACTGCAAGAGGGGATGTCTGGTCTCAGCTGCCCGGCCGACAACACAAGCAGGAGTTTATAGCGGCGAGGCGCTCCCCATTTCCAGCCAGGAGTGCAGGATTCAGGGATGCTTCTTCCCCCCCGGGCTCCGCAGCCCCTCGGCGAACCCTTTGCCTCTCCCCCCACAGTTGGGCTCAGCCTTCTCCTCCTCTCCGGATAGCTGGATTCTGCCAGAAGCCATAACAGGTAACCGCTAATGAAGCACGCCTAATTAATGTGTTCCTCGGGCACACCCTCGCCGTCCCTTCCTCCAGATGCTCGGCCACCTCTCTCCGTCAGCGGTGACCTCGCCAAGCGAGCGCTCCGCTTCCCGGCTTTAAAAGTCGCAGCTCAGCGCAGGCTCGGGGAGCATCTTTCAACCCAAAGCTCTCCGACGGCCCCTTCCAGGGTCAGCTCTCCTACAGAAGGGCACCGTCGCTGCTTGAGCGGGCAGGAGAGGAGGCAAAAACCGCGTTCAAACTTTGGTGAATTGAAGCAGAAAGCCGGAGATAAGGCTCAGCAGAGCCTGGGTGGGCTTCGCGTCCGCCAGCAGCATCCACGGGCTGGCGGCAGCCGGTGCGGGAGGGAGGGAAAGGCAGCTCAGGCTTGTTCCTGGCGCCCGGAGTTGGGGATGCTGGTGTTCCCTGCGGGGAGCGGGAGTCGTGGGCAGGAGAAGGGAGGAGAAGGGTGCGAAGGAGAGAGGGAGCCTGGGCTTGACGGGGAGAGGGTGTGAATGAGCCCCCCCAGCGCTGCCTGCGAGGATGCAGCAAGGAGCCTCCTCCCTCCACGAACTGTCTCCGTATGACGCAGGTGCCAAGAGCCAAATTTCTTCAACCTCATTCCAGCCACAAAAGGAACTTGCAGAAAGTGCGGGCAGCCTTCACCACCCCCCAAAAAATAACCAACCCACCCCGTCTCCCTCGCACAGCTGCCCGCGGCAGGGCCGGGCAGACGCCGCACCGCGGCCGGGGATCCGCGGGTCCCTTCCCAGCGCCTCTTCCCTGCGCGCCCAACTCCGCGCCTCCTGCCCGGCAGCGGGGGGGGAACAGGGGGGACACACACAGAGCGAAGAGCACGGGGCGCGGTGCCGCGGGGATGGGATGAGCGGGGGAGCGGAGCGCGGGGAGCGGGGCAGAGCGGCGCGGGGCGCGGAGCCGGCGTGGGGAGCCGCGGAGCTCAGAGACGGAACGCGGAGCTCAGAGACGGAACGCGGAGCTCAAGGGACGGAACGCGGAGCTCAGCATCGCGGAGCGCAGAGCTCAGAACGCGCATCCCGGAGCCGGAGCGCGGAGCTGTCCGCGGTGCTGGGGACACTCACCGGGCCGGGCCGGGCCGGGCCGGCTCCTCCTGGCACCGCCGGGAAGCGCTTGGGGCGGCCCCGCTCCGCGGGTGCCCGGGCTCGGCCTGGCGCCCTGCCTGGCGCCGGCAGCCCCGCTGGCTGCTGCGGCCGCGAGGAGCGACCCCGGGACTGCCTCGCTGCCGCTCCCTCCTCTGCTTAAATTTCAGCAGCTTCCTTTTTTTTTTTTTTTTTTCTCTCCCTGTTTTTTTTTTTTTCCCCCGCTCTCCCCCGTTCTCCGCTCCCCGCTCCGGGCGCTCCCGCACGCAGCCGCCTAGTGGGCAGAGGCGGGAGGAAAATCCCACCCGCAAACCCGGGCGGCACCGCCGCATCGCCTCCCACCGCCCCCGGCTGCCCCGCAGGTCCCCGCGCCCCCGCCGCCAGGACACGGCTCCCGGGGGAGCCAGGCCACGGGAAAAGGAGGGGAGGGGAAAAGGGGAGGGGGGAAAGGAGGGTAAAATGGGATGCAAAAAAATAGTGAGAGCCAACCGAGTTTGGTCTCAGCCTTCCTGGGCTCTGGACGCAAAACAGTGTGGGCACAGAAATGGGCAGAGCGCTGGAAGCCCTCTGCCACGAGAGAAGGGTGGGAGAGCTGGGGGTGTTCAGCCTGGAGAAGAGAAGGCTCCAGGGAGACCTTGGAGCCCCTTCCAGTGCCTAAAGGGGTTATGAGAGCTGGAGAGGGACTTTGCATAAGGGCATGGAGTGATAGAATAAAGGGGAACGGCTTCCCACTGCCAGAGGGCAGGGTTAGATGGGATACTGGGAAGGAATACCTTGTGAGGGTGGGGAGGTCCTGGCACAGGTTGCCCAGAGAGGCTGTGGCTGCCCCATCCCTAGAAGTGTCCAAGGCCAGGTTGAAAATGGCTTGGAGCAACCTGGGGTAGTGGAAGGTGTCCCTGCCCGTGGCAGGGAGTTGAACTGAGTGATCTTTGAAGGTCCCTTCCAACCCAAACCATTCTGTAACCCCACACAAGAAGAGTGGGCAGAAACCACAAGTTTGGTTTCTGACCCCTCCCCGAAGTTAATTAACAGTCACTGGTCTGGGGGAGATTTTTTACTCAGCTGGGAAGTTGGGGTATCCTACATAATTTCTGGACAGGGGAACAGAGCTGCTTGGGAAGGAGAGGGCAGAAGCCACAGCCTCAGTGGGAAAGCCCCCTCCAGGCAGGATGGAGAAAGATCCATGTTGGTGTTATATGTTGACTCCAACCAGCTGTCAGACCTCGGGGAAGTGGAAAGATAAATGGCCAAGTTGGTAGCAGGTATTTTTACACCCATCCTTACTGCACTTGGCTAAAAAGACCCCAAATCAGCACTCCCCACTGCTCCTCTACAGCCAGAGACTGACCTACTGACCTCACCAAGAACTTGTGAAACAACCTCCGTCCCTGGGGGTCACTGCCTCAAACACAGCTGGAGACATTTTCAATGGAATTCTCTCCTTGCAGGTTGAGAGCCATTGAAGCCATTTCTGAATTCATGACAAATTCACCAGATTACCACCACTCAGCCAAAACATCACAGGGAACATAATATAATGGCCAGTCTTCGCGAGCGAAGATCCGGGGAAGGTCTTTCCACCTTCCAGCCTGCGCATTGGATTTTTTAGGTGAGACACAGTGTGCACGGAACTGAGCCCACCCTTTAATCCTAAGGTTCATCTGCCGGGGCCAAGCGAGCTTGGACGGTGGCAGCGAGGTCCTCAGGACGTAGATGGGTTGCCTTTAAGGGTTAACGAGCTCCACCTGCCCGGGAGTGGCCCTGACCGGGAATCGAACCCGGGTCTCCGCGGTGATAGCACGGCGCCTTTACCACTAGACCCAGGGAACATAATACTGTATTTTAGCATATTTGGAGCACTCTAATTCCTTTTAGCATCAGAACCTACCTGAATATTCAAAGTAACGAGGCTCAAAAAGGTTTTTGCTCAATGGTGAGTAACATTGTTGACAGTAGGAAGTATTTCTTTCCCAGTTGAGCTGGTGAACTGAAGTTTAGAAGAGCAATTCTGTCTAGTTCTGCATAAAAATTCAGGCAGGTGGCTCCAACATTTTCCTGGCAAGCTGCTCCCTCAGCTGCGAGACTCCCATCCTGGTACATTAAAGCAGACCTTCCTTAGTCACAGGAACAAGGTGGCACTAAGACATATCCATGACTCCAGAGATATGACTTCATTTCCCAATTTCCCCACATCGCTTTGGGTAAATTGCCTGATCTACCTCCTACCCTCCATGAAACAGAAGCTCACTGAGAGAGGTAAAGGCCATTACTCAGGATGAGATGTTCAGCTCTGTAGGTAATTGCCCACTTAGATGTACAGGGAGTCCTGTGCTCCACCTACACGCACAGACATCTACATGGAGGGAAACCCACAGCTCCCAGGAAGCAGGCAGTGACGTTCCTTGGGCCCTGCTGACGAATAGAAACCCAGGAAAGCCATAAGCAAGCAACAGATTGAAATAGCTGATCATGCCCTCCTGGCTTTCTCCAGCTGGAGAAGAGGTCACTGCCTTCCTTCATATCCCAGCCATGACGACAGGCTTTCAAGTCACAGGGGCAACGTCCCCCAAACTCCTGGTGTTTTGAGCATGGCCATGCACCAAGGAGGGGTTTCTCACCCAAGTCTCAGAGCAGGGTGGCTGGTTGTAAAACCCACGTGTTTCAGTCCCCATGTGGTGAAGGTGCCAGGGAAAAGCAGGGTCAGGCAGAGCCCGAGGCTGTGACCCCTGCCCAAGAGAGTCCTTAATGAAACCCATGGTGATGCTGAAAAGCGACACCCAAATTCCCTTGCTCTTAAATGTACTTCAGAGCAAAATAACACCCCCAAAATGGGAAACTCACTTGTTTTGTAGCCAGCACAAGAAGTTTTCCAAGGGATTCCTCTGGAGGGATGCATGTGGCTTGCATGAGGCATGGATGGTCTGAAGAGGTCCCCAGGGCCATGCTGGGAAGAAGCAGAGACTTAAATTTGGAAAAAGTCTTTCCCTTGCTCACTTCAAATCCCTTTTCCCCCTCTGTTTTGCTTGTGCTGTTTCCAGCTCTTTGGGACTCTGGGCCACAGCCACCCACGTAGCACAGGCACTCTCATGCTTCCCAAGCCTGCCTTGTTGATGCCAGTGGGAATTGAGCCTCAGGGACACCACAGGCGTTTCCATCCCTGCAGTACTGGGGAAAAGCACTCTCCAGTGAACGAGACCTTCTGGACTGGTCTGAAAGCCCCAGGATCCCTTCCCTGTTCAGTCCCGTTTGGGGGGATGCCCAGCTGTGAGCTGCTGCTGTTTCCATCCCTCCCCTCCTGCCACTCCTCTCCCAGCACAGCCCTCCAAAAAATCTGCATGGAGATGCAGTCGGTGCCCTGGGCTTTGAGCATCCTTGCTATTTCCCCGGGGGCGTGTGGCGATGGGAATTCTGCAGAAAAAGTTTGGGAAGTGGCTGCTATTCCTTCTTCCCTCGGCGACACTGGGGACGGCAGCCCCGGGGGGAAGCTCCCACGCAGAGCTGTGTGTATGAGGCTGAGCCACTCCTGCCAGCGGTGATTCCTTCCATGAGCTCCCAGCCTGAATTACCAGAAAATTAAACATATGTCTCCACTCACCCAGGCGAGGAATTAGATGTTGATCCGCCCTGATTCCATCTATTTCAATTATAGCCAAGGGCAGGCACTGCCTTCCCCACACAGGGACCCCAGGAACAGCCCTGGGGAAGTCTCCAGCCCTCAGGGCTCATCCTGGGCGGGGGAGCGTCCCAGGCACTGCACCCCTGTGGTGGGGATGCTCATATCCCAGTGGGAGGCACCGGGGCCAGGCTGGCAGGGCTGTGGGGCAGCACAGTGCCCCCGTGGCAGGGGGGTTTGCCAGGGTGCTGTAACCCTGCAGCCTTAAAGCAAACTTGGAAAGCAACTAGTGGCAGCTGCAGGACAAGGACACAGTCCTGCCCGGGGGACAGGCTGCAGGCAGGAGCAGGGAGTTGGGGCAGGCAGGGATTGAGAGCTGGCTTTGGGGTAGGGCAAAACACAACCCGACCTCTTTGGTGTGCTGGGGTTCCTCCTTGCAAAGCAGGCTGGAAATCTCTCCCTGCTCCCAGGGCCAACCAAAGAAAAGGTTTATCCAAGCCCAGCCTCTTGCATCCTGGCAGAGCACAACGGTTCCCAGCTTTGTAAATCGCACAGGGTGCTTTGGGACATTGCCTTCACGTTGTTTCTCCCACTCTGTCCCACTGCTCACAGCAGAAGGTGCAGCAGCAAGGCCACTCTTTGCCGCTCAGGAATGCCCTGAGCCGTGTCCCTTCCCTGCGCAGGTGACACCAATTTGGCTTTTCTCCCTCTCTGCACCTGCCCGGGGTAAGCAATGCCGATGGTAACACTTCATCATCATTAAAGCATCATCACTGTGAGGAGCCCTTCTTTTCCCATCCCTCAGCAGTGCCAGCCACGCGGAGCGTCTCCGCTGCCGGAACAAATAGCCCTTAAAAGCACAGGCGAGAGGCAAACAGCCTCTGGGGGCTCGGAGCATGTGTGGTGCTGGAGCTCCTTAAAACTTCCTTTTGGAAGCTTTTCCCCAAATCCTTGCCTTCCAGGCAGCAGCGCTGACCCCCGCAGCCCGTTCCACTGAAAACCGTGGCTTTGCATCCCCTCAGGAGAGGCTCTGCAGGCTCACAGACAGGCACACAGCTACAGAAACAGCCCCGGGGAAAGGAGGCACCCAGGGGACATCACTCAAGGACCAGGCTAAATGCAAGGATTTTGAATCCTGACTTTTGTTGCAAACAAGCGTCGTGTGCTCTTGGCACAATCCCTCATTCAGCGCAGCCAAGCAGGGTCTCCTTCCTGGCAGAAGAGGCCAGACCCCTTCCCTCTCTCCCTGCCAAATTGTTTCCTATTCCTCCACGTGAGAGCCTTGGGGGTGCCCTGTGCCCGGCACACACCGCACCGGGGGTGTTCCATGTGCTGGGCTCCCTCTCCTTCCTCCTCTTCCTCCCACCCCCACGGGGCAAAAGCAGCTTCCCAGCTCCCAGTGGGAATTGCCGTATCCCTCAGCGACAGCAGGACATTACGGCTTCCTGGGTTTTCCTAGAGTGCAGTTATTGCCATGCACGAGGCTTTTTAGATGTCACAGGAGTGTAGTGAAATAATTAAACCC